ATTTAGTCTCATCTGTCCTCATGACTTTCTCCAAAGACTCCTCTGTATCTTCCAAATGGTCATTGGCAAACTTATGAGGGGCCTTGACATCTGCTGGTTTAAGCAGTGGAACCTTCAGTGTCCTGCCTCGGTGTTTTTGGACAGCTCTTTGGTCTTGCCCATGTTAGTAGTTGGATACTTACTGATCGTACAGGGTGGACAGGTTTCTTTTATGCAGCTAATAAATCTCAAACAGGTGCGTGTAATTCAGGATAATTAAGGAGTGGAGGTGGACATTTTGAAGGCAGACTAACAGGTCTAATAGGTGATAGACAGGTGTTCAAAATATTTTTTGCAGCTGTATCATACAAATCGATAATGGAAAAAAAAAATCATACATTGTGATTTTTGAATTTTTTTTTTTCTTAGATTATGTCTCTCACAACGGACATGCACCTACGATGATAATTTCAGAACCCTCCATTATTTCTAAGAGGGGGAACCTGATGTAACAGGTTAACATTTATGTTTAATACAAAAAACATTGATATAACTATATTTCTGGGCTCAAAACATATAAACATTCAAACATTGTGTCTCAAGTTTTTGGGACGATTTCCTACTTGAATGCTCTCCCCCTTAATAACAAACCTACAATGTTTCTAAGGTGACCTAACGTGTACCAGTATAAAAAATATGATTTCAACACTACAAAACATTTGTATCACATTGTCTCTGCATTTTTAAGTTATTTTCTAAAACTTTCGAGAAACTATTGTGGTGTTGTTACTGAACAATTAATTTATCAAAAGTTAATCGGTCTCATCAACCAACTGACACTTAATTGCTAACAGCAATTTTCTCTAAAACCTGTTTTATCTTGCTCTCTTGTGGACTGCGGTTACACTACAACACAAAGAAGTTCTTGCTCAATGGACATTATTAATCAAAAGGATGGAGCAACTTTTAATCAGATCAACCATTAATTGACAAATGTAGGTTAATCCTTTGTTTACATCTCTATAAGAAACTTTTTTTTTTTCCATAATGTTACCCAGTTTTGCTTAAAGTTTCACTTACTGTTGGCATTCTGTAGGGCTAAGCCCAACGTCATGACCAAAGCCTGCATAGTTGCAATTAGTTCATCAAAAACTCAAGGCATACAGAATAACTAAAGAGGTCAAATTCAATTAAAAAACAGGTTATAAATAAAGATTTAAGGACTGAACTGAATATGCTCAGACCTTGCTGGACATCATCTTGACATGACCTCTAGGATCGGACAAAAGCTGCCACCAGCATTAAAAGTGATACTTGAAAGTAATTGATGTGACATGAAACAGCGCAAACAGACTCCTGTGAGCTTCAATATGCAACCTAGCTTCATCAGCTTGGCCATGCATGCAAGGCTTGAAAGACATGCTTTAGGATCCTTCTAATGGACCTAAAAAGTCAACAAAATATGAACAACCATATTCTTTACTTTGCCAGCACAGATTGGATTTTCATCCTTTTTTTTTAACAAAATGAGCAAGGACACAGCTGTCCATCATCACCAAGCAGCCAAATGCATCTGTATTCTCTTGTATTCACTCCATAGCACAAAGTCACAAATAAGGCTAATCTGCTTAGCATTTCTAAGGTGTTACATTTTAAATTTGATTTAGAATACAGCATCTCTGAGAGTCATACAACATACTCATCCATCCCTCATCTTTTCCATCCTTGTTTTTCCACTTTATAGGATTAACCGCTATTGACAGATGGGGAAAGCGTAGGAATAAAGAAAGTGGAGGAAAGAGAGAAATAGGCGTTAGTTTAGTCCCCAAGCCCAATAAAACTATCTCTGGTCAAGCCAGCATCCACTCTCACCAAAAATTTTGATGCCAATCCAAAAGTATTTTAAGTATTTGAATAACTTTATCACCAGATATAATTTAACACATTACAAAGCATTACTGTGTGTAACACTAAAACTCTTTCTGGCATACCTTCTCTCTTCATACCCATGGCCAGGCACTTCTGGTAGCGACAGTACTGGCAGCGGTTGCGCTGGCGTTTGTCCACCAGGCACTCCTTGTTATCCCTGCAGGTGTAGCTGAGGTCTTTGCGCACAGTTCGTTTAAAGAAACCTTTGCAGCCTTCACAGCTGTAAACGCCATAGTGTTTGCCTGAGGATGAAACAGGTTGAGTGAAACTTAAGCACAAACAAAACGAGGGAAGGAAGACAAAAACTTCATGAACACATTAGATTACTTTAATCAACGATTCAACAGACAATAAGCAGTCCACTCACCAGAAGAGCGGTCGCCACAGATCACGCACAGTCGTTTCTGAGACATCATTATCCCTGGGCTGTGAGCTTGCATGGGCCTCAGACCAAATGGAGGCTTAATATCCTCTGAACTGCTGACTGAATGCATCCCTGTTCTCGGTGCTGAAGATGAAATCTAAACATACAACAATTCTATTAGTTAAGACCAGAACTAGACAACTGTTCAACATCAAACTGTGATTATATTTTAATTACTAAACTGTTTAGAGAAAGACCGTAACCAAAAGTGCATAATTTCTGAACAGGGTAAAGAAACACCTGTACTCTTCAAAGGATGCCACCCACTGACATTCAATATTTTAGCAGTTGAGATGTCTTAGTTTCTCACATTTTTGAGCACCTAACAGAGCCTATTATGGGTTATTATGCCAAACATGAGTCAATGTGACCCCCATTTTAGAGGCGTTTATACAAATCCTAATAAAATGTTTCATACCCACTTTTAAAAGTGATTAGTTTCAACCAGTTTTCACAAAACACCCTAGGTTTAGAAGAAGATTTTTATACCACATAAATACTACCTACTGACTACTGGGAGTTGCATCTAGTTACTATGATGTGACATAGATCATAATTACATTTTCTTAGACTTGTCTGAACCAGACATGGATCAGAAAAGCAATCATTAGCTGTGATACAAGAGCACAATTTCCCAGATCTTATCTAAATCTTGGTTGATTACAATTTCAAAAGCCCTGTTTACATGGACACTAAATAAAATGATTTGATCACAACAGGTGTATACAGGCAACGAGTGTTTGATCATATTTAATCATTTAAGCATGCGCAGAACTGCTGAAAAATGTCACACTAGTTTAGCAAACATGCAAAGTGTAGATTATTTTCTCCAAAGATCCAAATGGGTGTGTATATGGACAACAATCAGAATGGCGATCTGCAAAAACCACTTCTTTCTTTGGGGAATGAAATTTCTTTCCAATCAGACCGATTCAGTTTAAAAACTTCAGTCCATCATACTTACAAGAAACATTTTTTTTAAATTGGATCAGGCTTTCAATCCGATTGTGTCCATGTTAACGTAGCTAGTGAAAACAGTTGTCCTTTCACATTGGTACATAACAAGATGTAAAAATCATACAATATTGCTAATGACAAACTATTTCCATAATTAACCAAAATATTTAACTACCAGGAGAAAGAGAGATACGTAATCAAGCACACCAGTATGACACAGTTTGTTGTGTTGGTGAAAAATGGAAGTAGGTTTGTATAAAAGGACAATACAAGAAAAGAGTAGAACTGATTAAAGGTGCTCTTAAACAATTGTGAGAATTATTTTACAATCAGTTTAAGATCCAAACACATGAATACAACTATGTTTACAGCTACTTAGCAAATACCTGACTGCTGCTGATGGGTCCGAATCCCAAAGAGGGAGATACAACTGGAGAGTTGATTGAGGGACTTATCACTGGAAAAGGAGAACCTAGAAAGCTGGTGGGGCTGTTGGAGGCTGAGCTGTTGGGTTGCTGTGTGGACATGGCTCATAAGCAACCCGCTGAAGAGAATGATGTCCCGTCTTCAGGATGTCAATCTAAAGTTGACACAAGAGGATGTTATTAGCAGTGGAAAAATGAACTTGTACTGCTTCTTTCAACAAACAGTGCCTTAATGAGAAACTGCAGTATAAATGGGTGATACTATCAGTAACCATATTGGGAGGTTTTTCTTTAAATTTTTTGATTATTGTTCACAACTATCCAATCTAAAATAGCGTTTTATAAGGTATTATGTGTTGAATTTTTAGGAATCTCCTAAATGAACAATTTAAATCATGATTAGATTAAATAATCTACAGTTTTTTTTATTTGTATCCATAACCAGTAAAGCTGAAGATTTAATTTGACAATCCCTTTTACAGTTTTCCAAAACATTTTGAGTTTTGTTCAGGTTTCAAGTACCTACATGCTAAAAGCTGACTATATGTTATCATGTGCTTACCTAGCATACTCAGGGCTCAGGTAACATCAATATTTGCACATCATTTTAGCTATATGTACAAATTTTGCAACAACGTTTAGGTTTCTAGGCTGTAAAACAGCATATGCGAGAAACAAAAGTGAACTTTGGATAATACTGTACAAAATCTTTTGGAAAATATTTAAGACTTTTTTACTGGGATTTTAAGAAGGTTTTCGTGTAACATAGGAGACATTAATCAACCAAGGAATGGGGCATTTAATAGGTAAGACCTATTTGTTTTTACACACAGCTAATTCTGACGCCAAAATATTCCTGTGATAAACAAATAAAACAGAAATATCGCGCGTCCGCAACTCCAACCATTACAGCTGAAATCGAAACATGCACATTTGCATATGGATTGTGTTCTAATAGCCTGAAAAACAAACATTTTTGGATATTTTTTAAACAATACATTTAACTAATGTAGTGATATTTCGCTTGGTTTTGATTTACATTTCACATTTACTAAACACCGCTGGCCAAATGCTATAACATCAACGCTGCCAGTTTACATGCGTCACATTACTAAAAATAAACCCTCAAAAAATAACAGCATATACATGTTTTCTTGAATCTTATTATACACTAATAAATGTATTATCTTTGTTTAACGTATTGGTGGGTTTTTGACTGCGAAGCTCTAACTGCTAGCAAACCTCGCAACACCTCTTGCTAGCGTTAGCTGCGCTTACGCATGTCTGAGTGTTTCCCCTTCAATATTTTTAGGTTATGTGCGTCAAAACTAAAATAAACAATCAAAATCGAAAGAAGATTTCACATACCCACCGAAACATGAAGCCAAACATACCTAGCTAGAGTATTTATTTTAAGACAGAAAAGGCTAACAAGTTAGCAAGCTAACCGGCTAACGCAGCTCGAAGCATTAGCCAAGAAGCTCAGACGGCTCCAGGAAAGTGTTGCTGGCAATTTTAGCTTATAGTTATCTTACGTTTGGAGTCACGTACCATAAACACTTTCGAAGCATTGTTGAAAATTCACTCAACGCTATCTCTTTTCATCTAAACAAGTGCAAGACAACACGCCGACAATCAGATTCGGTTAACTTTACTTTGACGCTGTTGTTGTTTACAGGCCATGTTGGCTCTAAGCCATCAGCTACCAGAGCCAAAATGTCTCGTGGGACCACCCATAACTGTGCTGTCATCTGACACCGACGATGATCATTTAAATCTTTGTCCATGTTTCGATATTTAGTATGTACGGAAGAGGATCAGGGCCACTGAAAAAATAAAAAAATAAAGTTAACTGATTTTTAAATTTTATTTCAGTTTAATAAGGGGAAAAAAGTCAGAATTCGGAGATTAAAATCAGAATTATGGGGAAAAGGCTAGAATTCTGAAATTAAAGTCAGAATTTTGCGAATAATGTCAGAATTCTGACTTTTTTCTCACATAAAACCATCCTTTGGAAGAGGATTAGGGCTACTGAAAAAATTTTAAAAAGTTAATACATTTTTAAATTTTATTTCAGTTTAATATGGAAAAAAAAGCCAGAATTCAGAAATTAAAGTCAGAATTCTGGAGAAAAAAAGGCACAATTCTGAGATTAAAGTCAGATTTCTGCGAAAGAAGTCGGAATTCTGACTTTTTTCCCATATCCAACCGTACTTCGGAAGAGGATTAGGGCCATTGAAAAAATAAAAAAAAGTTATCTGATTTTTAAATTTTATTTCAGTTTAATATGGGAAAAAAAGTCAGAATTCTGAGAAATTCTGACTTTTTTCACAGAAATCTGACTTTAATTTCAGAATTGTGCCTTTTTTCCCCAGAATTCTGACTTTAATTTCTGAATTCTGACTTTTTTTCCCATATTAAACTGAAATAAAATGTAAAAATTAGTAAAAAATTTTTTTCAATCCTCTTCCGAAGTACGGTTTGATATGGAAAAAAAGTCAGAATTCTGACTTTATTCGCAGAATTCTGGCTTAAATCTCAGAATTCTTGCCCTTTTCCCAGAATTCTGACTTTAATCTCTGAATCTCTGAAGTCAAAATTTAGAGATTAAAGTCAGAATTCTTCTTTCCAATGTGCTGTACATTACAAATAATAAACAATGACACAACAATACATAAACACAATACAACAATAAATAAACTGACTTCTGACTTTTTTTCTCAGAATTCTGACTTTTTCTATATTACCGGTAAACTGAAATAAAATGAAAAAATCAGTTAACTTTTTTTTTCAGTGGCCCTAATCCTCTTCCCTAAGTATGTATTAAATAATGATATATACATATTTTTACAGTACGTAGGGTCTATTTTTAGTAACAGTTATCAAATAAAATATAGAAAATTCTAAATCACAGGAAACCAAGATTAAATTTTCATTATCTGATTATAGAAAGTATTTTACTTTTGTGGTTATGGCTTGCTGTAAGTTTAAAAAGAAGCATTTGCTGTTTTTTCTAAATGCGTATGTGGATTACTGTTTAGTCTATAGTCAATCTGAGAAATGCTTGAATGTTTTTTTTTCCACATGTACAACTTGTTCTTATGAGGCATTTTAAAATTTCTACTACCACTGTAGCTTTTTCAGCTCTAAATTTCATACAGTGGCCTTTGGTGTTAAAAACATTAAGTTGTTTAAGCTTTGTGGAAGACTGAGAGTAGCTTTTAATTCCTGAAAAAGAAATGACACAGCAAAATAAAAGTTTTCTTTTATGCTGGTCTCTTATGTTCATTTTTGATTGATGATAAGCAGCCTGCACACCTAATACCAGATGTAGGTGTTGGTTCAGCTTAACAAACCACATACCACTGTATGTCTGAGAGAATGAAGAACTTGACAAACAGCTTTGCTTCAAGTAATTATTAGGAAAGTGTCTCCTTACAGGAGATACTCAGTATTGCCATTTCGCTGCTTAAAGCTGCTGGGACCTTTTGAACAGGAGCAGTGACTTTTTTTTATATTCGAAATGTTATATATATGTAACATTTTTAAAGTTAGTATTTATTATAAAAGAAATGTGGCTGATAACTAGAAGAACTTCACCTCTGTTTCTAATTCTTACCTCAGGTTGGTACTAAACATGCTGCTTTCTGTGTCTTGTTGTCTCTGGTAGACAATGCAATGATATATAGGTTTAAAATTTTGAAGTTATAGTAACCTGATTGAAAGCTTTTGAACTAAAAGGTGTTTTTATTTGTTGCTCATCTTAAAAATCTGTGTTTAAAATTTCACAGTGATTTTCACATCCCCGCTCCAACTGTCAGACTTGCAGCTCACTCCTAAGATGACGTATGAAGAGGCAAAGAGCTACTGCAGACCAATAAATAGTTATCTAGCTGAAGTTTACAAATTAGCAGAAAATGTTATTACAGATTTAGCTTCATGGCGAGCTGCTGAGAGAATTTGGATTGGACTGGAGTTGGGAGAACTCTGGATTTGGCACTGGACTGGACCTGATCAGGGAACATCTTTTGTAAACTGGAGGACTGGAGAGCCACAAGATAAACAAGAAGTGTGTGCAGCAATGGATCAAAATGGAACATGGTTTGCAAATGACTGTGGAATTCAAAAGAGCTTTGTTTGCCAAGGTAGGTGAAATACTTCTAAATACTTATGTCAATCAATTGGAATGTGAGTAAATTTGGCAAATTCAGTTAAATTCAACTTGTATATCTATTAAACTCTAATTCATAGAGTGATGTGTTTCAACAATCTATTTCTTAACTTTGATGTTCACAATGTACAGCTAGGGAAAATTCATGCTTCAAAAAATTTTGACGTAAACCAGATAAAAATACATATCAGCCTGGGGCAGCCAGTGACATTAAAGGAGCGAAGGTTTTCTCACAGCAGCCCAGCTGCATTCTTGGGTCTGGTTCATCTCATATTCCTCATAACAATTTCAAATTGATTCTCTTTAGTGTACAGGTCTGGTGAGCTCTAGACGATCACAGGAAGTTTTTGCATGATGGGATGATACCAAGTTCTGGTGAAAAGTCAAATTTCTCTTTCCAAAAAGCCTTTCCATCACAGGGAAACATAACGTGCTCCAAAGTTTCCTGATTGATGGCTGAGCTTGGACTTGATAAAACACAATGGAAACCAGTAGATGACATTCCTTCACCAACTGTGGAAACGTCTCATTAGCCGCATTTCCATAACAAATGTGTGCAAAACAATGTCGATATTCTGCTAATTTCAAAGATGCAAAGTTTTACAATTGCAGTATTACCTTTAAATAACAATGCAATACAAAATGGACATTCATCCATTTGTTCATGCGAGAATTCTTAAAACAAATATTTTAGCGGCGGTCGTAAACAGAGAGATATATCCATATTTCAGGCTCTATTGAGCCTCCCACTAATTCCATTTTTAAAGTGCGGCAGTGATAAAATATGATAAAATGTAAAATGTATAATGCACGAGAACATAACAATGTTTAACTCCTCCATGTTTAATAGTAGGGACAATTAGTTGTCATGGTGTGTCTTGGCAAAAGGTTAATGTTTTTTCACATTTTTCTACATGACATTCTCCCCAGCCACTTTGTGGCTTGTCAATATGCAGTTTGACAAATTTCAATCTGGCTTTTTTAGGATTTTTTTTTCAACAACGGTGTCCTCTTTGATCTTCTCCCATTAAGTTCATGTGGCTAAATCAAAGACAGATGGTGTGATCTGAAACAGATTTTCCTTGACATTTAAATTCTAAACCTTCTTTAGAAATTTTTCTGGGCTCTTTTGCAACCAGTCATATTTATTCTGTCATCAATTTTCCTGCTGCCACGTCCAGGGAGGCTCGCTGCAGTCCCATGGTTCCTAAGTTTCTGAATAATATGAGCAAATGTAGCATCAGGGACATAAAGCTGCTTGAAAATGGTCTTTTAGCCTTGACCTCTAACATGTTGAGCGGGTAAACACCATGTCACCAAACAGTCACCGACTGACTTATTATAAGTTTGCACCTTTGATACTCATAAGTGGACATGCCTTTATTTTTATGTCCCTTTGGTCAAATTATTTTCAGTCTTTTCAAGGGGTACCGACATTTTTGTCATTCTGTTGAAACATAGGCTAGTTGAAAAGCAAAGTCTGGCTTTCATTTGTTCATAGAATCTTTATTTATTACTTTTATCAGATTCAAGTCAGATTATTTCTGTAAATGTTGATAGTCTTTCTTTCATTTAATGAGGCGTACCAACAACTTTGTTCAATTGTGTATTCCTTGATAAACTGGCTGACATTAGTGACTTTTTGGTGAACTTTCTCACATAAAAAACATCTTCAATTGACTATTTGTGTGAAATAATTAATGGATGATGACTAACTAAAGACCTGGGTCGCTTCTTCTTTTATTCATTTAGTTTTTAAATGCAGATGAGATTTTTTTTTAAATGCACTACTGCCACATCATGGATTCTATTTCAAGATCGCCTTTCTGTAAAGTCTTTTGATGAGGCCACTTTTATGTAAAAACCAAAAATCCAAATCTAAGCTAAAAATCTTCTTTGATTTACATACCTATTACACCAAACAAAAGCATGTGCAATCTACATATTCCAGTGAGGCGTTTTCCCATCATAGAAAAAGTGACACATACTGCAGTGGAGACAAAAACCTGATTGTATTCTACTCATAACTATATCTTCCCTACAAGTCATTCCTCTGTTTCTTGTAACCTCATATAGTTTGTATTCTATAAATGTCTTGCTTTTACCTGTTTATCACTCCCGATTTTCCATACCTTTTACTCATTTTTCAAACTATACTTTTCCCTTCAAATTTAGATAGCGGAATCTCTAAATCAGTATCAACTTTAATAGCTTTCTTAGCGAAACTACCTGCTCTTTTGTTTTCAGAAATACCTACAAAGGCAAGTTCCCACACTATTAACCTATTTTTGTTTTCTTCTTATAATCCATAATGAACAAATAGACTTTAGAAATTATTCTAATTTCCTCTTTGCCTTCTAATTCACCTATATAATGCATGGTTATTCTGCACATACTGAAGAAGTTTGATGTTCTTTTTGATATATAATTCAAGAATCACTACTGCTACAGTAGTTTCTGAAGTTTCAGGATTCTTCAATCCATCTGTATAAATTTGCAAATGATCCCTATACTTTTCCACAACTTGATTTTAAAACTCTTAACATATTTGTAGTATTC